AGTCAATGGTAATAATGGGGAATAGAAGAAAAGGAGGAACCACCTTCATGATCTGCCGAGGTCTTCATTTGTGAAGTGCCCACTGAAGGGATCTCCGAGAGGGACCAGTGCTGTCATGGAAGACCACATCCCCAAAAGAGATAGAACCTTGTGAGCAGAAAGTGACTGAGCCAAGAGTACGTGGTAAACCAAAAGTTCCATTGAACAAAAGTCGTAAAGGAGAAGGCAGTGCTTCACTGATATTTGTGTTGAAAAAAATCCCCATATGGACAAGATGTTGAATAGGTTCGAGGACGGGCTTCTCCAATTTGAGCAGGCAGCCCATCCAAGCCACCACAGAAAGTAGCTGCCAAGTATGATTGGCCAATTCCTGTTTGGAATGAGTCAGAAGAAGCCAGTTATCCATATAATAATGAAATTGCAGTCTCAGAGCATGAAGATGATGTGCCTAGACTATTCAAAAAAACACATAATGTGCTGAGGCAAGATTAAAGAGGAGGGCCTGAAATTGGTAAATCACCCAGAGATGGACAAACCAACTATAAGGACAAGACTGAGGTGATATCAGTATATGTAGGTAAGTGTCATTTTTGTCATCCACAACCTTGGAGAAAATGCCCATCTCAGGGTGAGAAAAGACTCCATGGTAGTGACATGAAGCAGTTGAGGATGGGGAACAGGTTTAATTGCCTACTGCAAGAGCAATTTCTGAACCGCTTCTGACAGACGCTGGCTGGTTATGGGATCTTGAGGAGGAGGGAAGGAAATAGGGAAAGGAGAAACCAGAGGTAGGGAAAAAACTGGATAACAAATCCTTCAGACAAAACACAGAACCTGAAGCACCCATTGATCAGCTGAGCCCCCACTAGACCTGAACCCACTGGGTAGTCACCAGTACTGTTGGTGATGGGGGGCACATTGTTGAGGAAGGCAACAAGAAGAAGTACACCGAGGAAGGAATGTGTAAGGGCTGAGTGAAACAGGCTTCAATATTCATAAGGGTGGATTTTTGATGGACCAATGTCACCCGAGGCTTGATAGTTTCAAGGACCGTATCAAAGACGTAACATCTCAAAAATAGGGCCATATGTAAATCCCTGAGAAATGTTGAGGCTAAACAGACCTTAGCAAAAATGGCATCATGACCTATAAGGTCCCAACAACAAAGAAATCATGTATGTAACACCAGAACCGAAGATGATGTGTGGGCTAAAGTGGAGGAAAGAAAGGCCAGAATATCTCCAGAAAATCCTTCAGAGTCTCAGGTAGGAGGTGTATGGAAGAAGGATACCATAAGGGGTTGGTAAAGGTAAGACACAGGCAAGAATATTGGGCATGGGTAAGACTGAAATTTGATTTGGGAGCCACCCCCAAAATAGGTAACAAGGAACCTATCAACAGCTGATCTAAAAATGGATAGTTTGCCAAACTGATCAGATGTCCTCGGGGGGCACGGCATGCTAATCCTCTCACTCAATTGTGAGGCCAATTGAACAGCATGATCCCGAATATCAGAGGAAGGAGGAAATATCAAAAAGGGTTGGGAAGATTGTACATGCAATAAGGAAAGACGGGGTGAATGGGATAAAACACCACACACCTGAAACACAAAATCCAGAAAGATTGAATTAGGCCTAAGGGATTCCTCAAGTTGGAAATGGGAAGGAACAACAAACTCTGGAGGCAGAAAAAGATGATCAAAGTCCTCATTAGCCTGGGCAATGTCTGGAGACAAAAGTTGGCCCGTGTAACATTTGATCTCTCGACATATAAAAGCAGATAATCCACCTGAGGCCTGAGAAAAAATGCTGGTCACTGGTGTAACCCCCAAAGTAGTAATGAGAACATTGGAAATCACTGCACAGAAAGGGTTCAACAAAGTGATATTTCGGGAGAGGAGTTTAGAGGCAATCACATGTGTCATGTGAGCATATCATGCTCCTATTGGTTAGGAAGTGACGCAAGATGATTTGCGTGAGAGACATGTTGGAATATAACAACTACAATGGGGGAAAAGGAAGGCTTGTGGTATAAATATGTGTTTCACATATAGAAGGCAGCACTGAACGAGAATAGCCAATCTTGTTAGAGGAGATAGCTACCATATTGGAAACTCAAACCATACATAATTTCAAGCAATAATTTAAAGTTTGATTTACTGAGATATCAAACACCAAAGACTTTCGAGCTTGATTGCTAATCAATTTTACATGGCTGATGGACAAGTTTACAACTAATAGTAAGAGCAGATTTTCTTTTACATAAATATTACAAACTTTAGTTTCACACCTTACTATATTATTAAGTGGAACTGAGTGATTAGTGGTAATTGTATCTTGCTTCTTTGAATGTTGAAATAAATGTTTAATGTATTTATAGCTTTCTTAAAAAGTCAGATAACTTATAGTAGTTTTGAGGCATTCTATTCTAGTGGCTGATACAATTTTTTGTGCTCTAAGATGCATATTTCAAAGCTACAAGAATTATCTTTTTGAACAACTAAATTTTTAAGACTCAAACAAGCTTATGAAAGAGCATCTACTCTAGTGAAAAGTGCCTCGAGTATGCAGGGAGTGCTACAAATCCTTGTTTTTTTACATATATTTTTTAACAAAAGTAACTGAAATGTACAAGTTATAAATTTTACAAGTTAACCTAACAAAACATCTGAAATTATATTAACTTCAGCATGAATAACAGAACACCTAATAATCACGTGGTGTATGTGTTAGTTCTCTGGGAAACAGTTAATAGGCTCCCTCTGCATGTTACAACTTTTTTATATGCAGTAATTGATCCAAAGTACAGCAAATACAACAACAAAATTAAAAGAAAGAAGATGTGAAAAGGTCAGAAGTTAAAGGTGTTAAGATAATTAATTTGGATCTTTCTGATCAATACTGCAGTCAGTACAGAGGGAAAAAAAATTATTATTAATTAATTTCAAACTTTTTAGTTTTGTTATAGTTAGTGTAAAAGTAAAGCAAATGAGAGATAAAATATAAGTTTTACCCAAAGAAAAAAACTTCTGATATTCATTTAGGAGGTTCTAGAGATTATGTCAATGAAAGTGAAAATTTTTGATGAAAAGAAGTACTTTTGTAAATAGCATGAACATCACTTTTTCATTCAGATGACTTGGTACAGGCTTCAGAAATTCATAGACAGATCTTTAGTAAAAATATTTTACAAAAAAAAAAACCTGATTTTTTGTGTACAACACACTTGTAATGTTTACTAAAATTTACCCAATTTTGTGAAGGTGCACTTATTAAATTCATAAGTACAGTAAACATTACAATATATAACTTCACAGATACAATCAGTCAATTTGAAGAAGCCCACGAAGAGATGGTTAACTTCACAGACATCTACAGGTAAAAGATTTTTAGAATTAATTTTTTAGTCCTAAGCTGTTGTACATGAAAATGTATCATGTATGCAATTCAGTACAAAATAAAAAGCTGAAAATATTATCAAACCATTCCTTGGATTTTTCCATACAAAATTTTCTTAAAATTATCTTTCAAGACTACAGAAATTTTGTTGATGAAAATAAACATTAATTCATGATATTGATTATAAATCAGATAAATAATATACATAACATTACTATTACGTTCAGATTAACTCTCTCAATATGGGCTTGATCAATTTGACCGACCACGTGACCTCTTTGTACTCATTCAAAGTCTTTATAGATCTGATACTACTAACTGTTAATATAGTGTATATATCTTCACAAAATTTGTCAGTCTTTCAGTAAACATCACAAGTCTTTCACATACAAAAAAAATTTTTTTTTAGTGAAGTAATTTATGCACTAAATAATGCACCAAGGAACATAGAATAATAACGTTGAAAAAGTAGACAATTTCCCCTAACCATTACAGTTTTTCTGTCTAACTATGCAACAAGAGCCATTACAAATTTATCCAAGCTAGCCATTATCTTTCCTATGGGAACGAAACTTGTACTAAAAAAGAAATTGACAATTCTCTGTTCAGAACACAATGTAATATAACAAGTTATTTGATAGATGACAACCTTGGCTTTCTATTGGTTATAGATAATATAGAATTAAACATACGAGAGAACTATTAACAAATCCTGAAAGAGAGAATGTAACAAGATGGATCTTTTTCTATTTGATGGCCCTGTAACCAAACAAAATTGAAAGCTAAAAAATCATGGTTTGTCCGAGCAATGACAATTTTAAAGTGAGCAACTTATGTTAAATTTGTACTTATTTGAGGGGTGGTGAATAAAATAAAGATGTGATGCCTACAGAAAATTTGTCACCTTTCTCACATTAGGGGAAATTCGGGATTTTTTTAAAAATATTGCCTAATAAAATTAAGAACATAAAACATATATACTATTAAAATATATATTATTAGCTATGATTTTATGCTATACTAATTGGTATGAGGTAAACAAAAAGTAGTTTATTAAATTTTGAATGTAAGACACTAAAACCTTATGACATGCGCAGTAAATGATGTGTGGGCAGATAGGGTTAAAAAATCAAGCCAAAAATACAGTGACAGTTTATATGTGCATTCATAGCACATTCAGCTATGTTCAGGTAACTGACTATGATACAACAAGGAAATTGGTGGGACTACACTGTTGTACAATGAAGGACAGACAGTATATTCAAATTTGTTCAGATAACCTACTATGATAAAACAAGGAAAATGCTGGGACTACGATGTTGTACAATGAAGGACTGAGGTTTGATAGGATTTATGAATGTGGTGAGTGTCCTTTGTCAGAACAATGTTAGAAATCCTGTTCAACATAATGCAGGAGCAAGCAACAATTTCCAAATTATTTGAATTATCTAAAAAACTGAAGTTTCCATAGTATTCAAGTTTTACCATAGATTTTGCTATTTTTTTTTATCAAGTCCTCACCTTTTGTCTTTAAATAATTTTTGTAATTACCTCCAAACAAACCTGTAACATTGCAAAAATATATTTATTTCCAATACTTACCATGTCTGTGACATGAAAACGTATCCCAGAAGGACCCAGCATATAGATACTGTTCACAGTCTCCTTCTGAAGCCTAAAAATCTCCTTAAACTTTTGCAGAAGATCTCGAACTGTAAAAGTCTCCAAGTACACAGCATGAAAAGCTGAAATCAGGAAATATACAAAACTTAGTAGCAGGGTGCCTTAACAAATGGTACTGAAACTTAACACATTTTGACTTTCAAATATTTTAACATGTGGAAAGTAGATTAACAGCACAATATTCAAATAACATAATTTTTTATCTTAGGCTACTGTAACTTTTGACAGAAATTAACTCTTATCAAAATAACACAACTAAAAATTGGTGTATAAAGCATAATCATTGGGTAACTTAACATAACCTGATAACATAGCTCTAAATTCATGTATAAAGCATGATCATTGAGTAACTTAACACTGTTGGATTTACAAGACTGTTTAGTTTAATAGTTATTATTTATTTAAAGAATGAATATTTAGTTTTCATAACAAGTGTTAAAAGTTAATTAATTCAAAAGTAATAGTTATGATAAATTCTGTTATGTAACTCGGTAAGAGTTGTATATTGTGTGTGAAGTTCAATTGTTGTAGTATCGTTGACATCCTCTTTCTCAAAACCTTTAGGTTTTTCTTGCTATGTGAGTATTGTTACATCATAGTGTCTCCTAGTTTGTAGAAAGTTCTAGGCCTCAGTTGAACAATTTATATATATAGGCGACCAAGTGAGTGCAATTAATGTGAAGTTAAGTCAGAAATAGTTAAGTTAGTGAAAGTGAAGTTAGACTGCATGATTGTTAGATTAGCTGTAACAGGTGATATTTTTCACAGTTTAATAGAGATAAGGAGAATAATTTGTCTTGTCAAAGGATGTTCTAAAGTAATTGAACCTTTCTGTGTGGAGACAATTATTTAAAGTACGAGATACAACTGTGATAACCCATGAAGTAACATAAGTGAACTTATCACAGATTGTACAGTAAGATACAGAGTAGAGAAAAATAATTCATCTTGTGTGGACTTTTGATAGGAAAAAAGAATTCCTTAGGGTTTTAAATACAGCTGTGATATCCTATAGTGTAAATAATTTTTTTTCAAACAAGTGGATTGTGTGCTGTCCATTTATTGTTCAAATTTATTGCCAACAAGTCACAGACACCTACTGTAAAGAATCTAAGTACATATATAAAACTCTGAAACATAGCCTGATAACACAGCTTAAAATTCATGTATAACTCATAAACATCAGCTAACTCAACACAACCTGATAACACAGCTTAAAATTCATTTATAACTCATAAACATTGGGTAACTTAACACAACCTGATAACACAGCTTAAAATTCATGTATAAACCAGGAACATCGGGTAACTTAACACAACCTGATAACACAGCTTAAAATTCATGCATACAGCATGAGCATCAAGCAATTTAATACACCCTGATAACACAGCTTAAAATTCATGTATAACTCATAAACATTGGGTAACTTAACACAACCTGATAACATAGCTTAAAATTCATGTATAAACCAGGAACATCGGGTAACTTAACACAGCATAAAATTTGTGTATAAATCATGATCATCAGGTAACTTAACACAGCTTTAAATTAATCTATAATGCATGATCATTGGGTAACTTAATACAGCCTGATAATACAGCTTAATCTTTTAAGTAATGTAAATTCTAACACAAACTGATACTTATCAAAATAACACAATTTTAAGATAACACTACTTAACACAACCTGATACCAAGTTAGAAAACAACTTAATCTTCAGGTAAGGTAATTAAATACAAACTATTGAATTAACAATATTATTATCTTCAGGAAATATAATTTTACCTAGCCTGATACAAATTGAAATTAATATTACTTTTATAGTCAAGTAACATAACTTATCACAGATTACTAATTCTTAAAATACCTGTATGATCTTTGAGTAATGTAACTTAAAACAAACTGAAATTTATTGAAATAAAACTATCCTTAGGAAATGTAATTTAATACAGCTGTCTAACCCAGTATGGTGTAAATTAAATTGTCTAACCCAGTGTAATGTAATATTAGTTGTCTAACCCAGTGTAACGTAATATCAGTTGTCTAACCCAGTGTAATGTAATGTCAGTTGTCTAACCCAGTGTAATGTAATGTCAGTTGTCTAACCCAGTGTAACGTAATGTCAGTTGTCTAACCCAGTGTAACGTAATGTCAGTTGTCTAACCCAGTATAATGTAATATTAGTTGTCTAACCCAGTGTAATGTAATGTCAGTTGTCTAACCCAGTGTAATGTAATATTAGTTGTCTAACCCAGTGTAATGTAATATTAGTTGTCTAACCCAGTGTAATGTAATATCAGTT